TCTAAAATATCTGACACCAACATTCAAGATATCATTCGACGGTCACCTCACATGCTCAACATATGAATGTTCATGAACAAAGAAACAAACAAGTGAGGATTAATATTTGAATATTAATGTTTTTAATATAATTATCTACATAATTCTATAAATACCTAAAAAATCTCTCTTAAATCTAAGGAGTGTATTGGATTAACACGCTATTAGATTTTAAAAAATTTTAGAATTCAATCTAGATCTTTTTAAAGTGTATTAAAATCTTGTGGTATTCAATTCAAACTCTTATAAAACAATAAAAATTTGATGGTATTCAATTATGGCTTTTTAAACGTTCATACAAATTTGATGGTATTTAAAAAATTACTGATTTCGAAGGATTTTATAAAATTATTGATTTCGTTGGATTTTAAGATTTTAGGTATAAATAAAATAGTCATTTACAAATACATACTCCAACCCAAAGATTTCAAAAATCTTTTAAGGTATAAATAAAATAGTCATTACAAATACATACTTCCAACCCAAAGAGATTTCAAAAATCGTTTTAAATGTCCAAGAGAAAATTATTGATTTCGTTGGATTTTAAGATTTTAGGTATAAATAAAATAGTCATTTACAAATACATACTCCAACCCAAAGATTTCAAAAATCTTTTAAATTCCAAGAGAGTCTTGATCCAATACACCTTAATAAGGATGGAACCGGAGTGGGCACCTTCAAATTTTAAACCTATTCGCTTTAAACTCATTTAAATATTTTTTTAAGTACCCGTATTCAAATCCGTTTAAATTTTACTACCAGTATATGTTCAAAACTCATTTAAAGTACCTCTTAAATGGGTAAGATGCCCGCGAATCTTCAATTATTCGAATTTGAATTTATTTAAAATACATTTTTACTAATAATTGATAAGGTACCTGTGGATACCCACTACCCAACCTGTTTAATATAGCGGTTAACGAAGCAGATATCCAAATATCTATACACGTTCCCTACCTGTATCCATTATGGATAGTACCCGTATTCTACCTGTAATAATTTCAATATCCATATTCATTACGGGTAGTAAGTTCACTATCCATATCCGTTCCAAACCATTTTATAATTATTCATATTCTCTTTAAATGGATTGAAGCGGAGCAGGCACCCTAAAATACCTGTACTACTTCCATCCATACCCCTTAAGATGTAAACAATATATTAATTATTGGATTAGTTTTAAATTAATTCATGTATTGAGAATTTGATATTTTGACAAAATTAATATTAATAGTGCTGCAAATTTTTAGAAATAACTCGATTATTTTTTGAAATTTTTATGCATTGATTTCAATTAAATAATAATTTAATCATATAAAAAAATTGAAAAAGCTTTGGAATAGTCAAAGAAGTGAAGAATACAATCTATCGTTGTTGTGACTGGACTACTAGGCTTCGTGAGCCGCAAGCGATGGCCGTGCATCAATTTTAAATTAATATAAAACCTCCTCCTTGTGCGAGCTCTGTCAATTGTCGTGAGTCCTGGCTAGCGGTGGTTGTTGGTTTTCGATTTTAAATTTATATATATATATTGTAATTTTTTGATAAGACAATCGTCGTTTCAGTAAAAGAACGAGAAGTTTGTGATCCTCTAACCACATCGTGATTGTTCTAATAGCACAGGATGGCCGTCGATGGCGTTGGCCATTGCTGGATTTTCACTGTCGGCAGCGGTAAGGTTTTAATGAAGAAAAAAAAAATTTGGAGAAGATGATGTATTTACTTTTTGATCCCTCATTATTTTTCAGTTGGGCTCTAAAACCTTTTAATTTGTTCAATTAGATCTTAAAACTAATTTTGATTAGATATAAATATCATTGTAATTCTATCAAAGTCAATTAAAATCTATAAAAAAAATCTTACCAATTCCATAAAACTTTGTGTAGAATTCTAGTGAAATCTGTGGAAATCTTAAAAAATCTACAATTCCATCAAACTCAATAATTTTTTTCAAATCTTACACGATCTTAATTCAATACACCCTTTTAAATCTACAACGGATATCAAATAATGGGATAGTTGAGGGATTATCTCTCCACTATCTCAACGCACTCTAAGATGGTTGTCTTTTAAACCTATATAAAGAGGCATACAAAGACTATTTAAACTATTCTCTTCTAATTACTACAAAATGATCTCAAAACACTCCATAAAGTGATCTCATTTTCTGAGTCTATCAAATATAATTTAAAATTAGAGTGCTGTTAATTTGAAATTAGGGTGTTATTAGAATTAAATTAAAATTCAGAGTATTAAAAGAAGAAAATTAAATTTAGGGTACAATTAAAATTACTTATAAATTTTAAGGTATTTTTTTTTTTAATAATTTAGCCTTTTAATAAATGTTCAAATGTTGTTATAATTTCACAAGACACTCATTTATTAATCTAGAAGTACATTTGCTTTAATATCAATAAAACTGAAAATAAAAATGTATGCAGATGATTGACAAGATATTCTATTTAATATTTTTATTTGTGTTTTTTTCCTTCCCTCCTTTTCTTAAGAGAGAGAAAGTTGCCGTACAAATTGGTCACTTGGCAGGTGCATGTAGGGGTGGCCATATTACGGTTCCGGGAACCGGAACCGTCGGTTCGAATCGGTCCAGAATCGGTTCGAACCGAAACCGGAATCGGAAATTTTCGGTTCGGTTCTGGTTTCAGATTTCTGGAACCGAAATCGGCGGTTCCAGAGAACCGGTCGGAACCAGACTGGAACCGCCGGTTCCCCGTTCGGTTAGAACTGCCTGTTCGAACCGGCGGTTTTTGTCGGTTCGGTTCTGGTGTTCAGGATTTCTTGGCAACCGAAATCGGCGGTTCCAGAAACCGGTCGGAACCAGACTGGAACTCCGCCGGTTCCCGCGTTCGGTTAGAACGCCTGTTCGAACCCGGCGGTCAAAGCCGATGTATAGAAACTGTTCAGGTTTGTTGTTTTTTTGTTTTTTAAAAGTTGTTGTTGTGAAGTCCCTTAATAATTATGTTCAAGTCTTTAAAAAAATAAGATTTAATTGAAGTATTTTTTAAATGTTTTAGTTGTATCTTTTAATTGTTATGCTTGTCAGAAGTGAGTTTTTTTTTTAAACTGGTCTTGCGAAAATTTGAAAATTTAAAATTATGCTTCAGAAACTTTTGTTGAAGGACAGAAAAAAATAAATTTCAGTGAAATTTTTTTTTTAAAAAAGATAAGTTTATGGTTCGAAAGTGGCTTTAAAAAATAAATTTAAGTTGGAAGTATTTTTTAATTTTTTTTAGGTGTATCTTTTTAGATGTTTTTAGTGTTCAAATAATGATATTGTTTGTTTTAAACCGGTGCTGTCAAAATTGTAAGAGATTTTGAAAATTATGCGATTCAGCCGGAAAAAGGCTGATTCGGAACCGTCGGCGTTTGGTCACCGTACCGGAACCGGAACCGGGAACTTTTCGGTCCGGTGATTCCAGTTCCGGAACGGGGCCACCCCTTAGGGTGCGCATGAACGTGCAGGAGCGTGGCGAAGGAGGGATCAGAAGTGGCTACTATACAGTACATCCATTATTTTAGGTGTATCTTTTAATTTTTTATGTTCAAATATATATTTTTTTTAAACCGGTCTTCAAAATTTAAAATTTAAAATTATGCGATTCACCGGAAAACTGATCGGAACCGTCGGTTTGGTCACCGTACCGGAACCGGAACCGGAACTTTTCGGTTCGGTTCCAGTTCCGGAACCGTGGCCACCCCTAGGTGCATGAACTGCAGGAGCTGCAAGAGGATCAGAAAGTGCTACTATACATGTACATCATTATCTGCTGCTGCTAGGAGCGGACAAAGGGACTTACCAAGCCAAACTGAGATTATTCGGTAAAAATGGTTCGGATAAGTCAGCAGTGAAATTGAATATTTATATTGGAATATTTGGAAAGCACATAGTAGATCTGTAAATAAGGTCACTGATTTCACTGCAAAAGCTTGTAAATAAAAGCATTTGTCCCTTAAATTGGCAAAATCCTCTTCTTCTATGGAAAACCCTTGCATGAAATTTGTTAGCACACGTGTAATCCTCTTATTAACTAGAAATATGACTTTAATAGGATCATCAATTATGAGTAATCCTTTGGTTTATTCTTGCTTTTTAAATTATCTTCTATTATAATTATTTGCTTTATTCTTTTTTTTTTTAACTCAAATATGTATTAATGAATATTATTTAATTGTAATTGATAAGCATAATAATTTTATTCTTTTTATGAAAAGAACAATTTAATAAGATTACATGAAATCCTAATTAATTCCAACAGCTTGTTCCATAAATCCAAATTTCCGTTTGTTGTCTCAAAAATATCCAGCTTATTCCGTAGATGCAATTTCCATTTCGTCTTGTCTAAAAACTATGGAAGGAGCAGGAGTACATACCTATTGGAACCAGATTAAAACTTTATTTTTTATGTCTGATTTTTGGGATGAGATTGAAAATAAAATGCAATTCTTGTCCCAATCCAACACATGCACACCCCCATATGGTGAACAAGGAAAAGAAAATAAAAGAAAGTGAAGAAAAAAAAAAAAAGAGGCCATCAGAATAAAGGAGCTCGCTAAAATCAAGTTGCTTGCCGATTTTAATGGATGCTGATCGGAGAAGCTCAATATGGGCAAATAAAGGAAAAACAAATCCAAAAAGGGAGAAGGGAAAAAGTAAAGAAAAAGAAAAACAACGGACGAAAAGTTCTAGAATTTTCTTTCTTTTTCCCTTACTTTTTTTACCCCATCAAACAGTAAACTTAAAATAAGTAAATAATCATAAATAAAGGACCTTACTTACAATTTCTATTTAGTTTGATTAGATATTTTAATTTATGATAAGTCAAACCAGACACCATTTTCCTTACGATTTTTTACTTAAAAAGTCAAACAAAACATCCTCTAGATTGCGAGATGCACTAGCTCAAAAAGATTTCGATAGTAGTTTCAAACATAGAAAAATGCTATTGTAAGTCAAGTCATTTACCATGTAGATTTATATGGACTAACCCAATACAAATATTAAAACCAAAGTAATAAACAACTGGTTGAAAACAATAATTGAATTGACATCTAATTCAAGTTTGAAATATGGTAGGGGCAAAGAAATTATAAATCATGATGCTAGTCACACACAACATATTCGATAGTGGAAGTGAAAAAATACTTGCCAAGTAAGGCTGAATCCAGACAATAACCTGAAATTTCAGAAAAATTAGATGACACAATGCGGAGTCTGAGTTTGTTGATTCTCGGATACTAATATAAAATAGAGGACAAAAGACATGCATGATGCACTAATTAAATGAAGTGAAAGAAATGCTTACAAATAAACAATAATTTCTTGCTTGCTCAACAAAGGAGGCTCACAAAGCTTTTCTAATCTCGAAATGGTGTGAGATCAATGTCCATACGTCTCTTCCCCTTACTTGCTCTCTTCGATATCCCAACAAAATAAGCACCCATGTCAATATAGAAATTTTGAAATGACAAACCATACAAGAAGATAATGAATGTTTCGATATTCAATAAAACTTTTCCAGGAGAAAAAAAAGGGAGAAAAATTACCTCCTATAAGATCTAGAATAAAATTTCAAAAACACAATTTTGTATAGCATATGATTAGTCTACATTAACTTTCCCATGTCGATGATATTATTCCATCACCAGGCGATGGAGGACCTTGTCACCTCAAGGGCGCCTAACGCTTTTGACAACACTGAACAAAACATACCAGTTTTGTATGCTTTTTCGATTTTAACCAATTGTTTGAGGCAATTCTTATCTCAAGTTCGATATTTGTGTTGATTTTAGCTGATTATTGCAATTGGGTATGCAATTCCAATACTTCTCGCTTCATATTAACAAAGACTCGCTACTGTCAAGAAAGCTAATAGGATTACACAATTAAAAGAATATATTGTTTGAAGAATTTATTCAATTGAACTCCGTGCAATGCAGCATAAAAGTTTAGGTATTTATATATTCAAGTAATTCTAAAACTAGAGTCAATATGCTACGTCTAAAATATTCAATAGAAAAAATATTGCTAAAACTACTTTTATTTCATAATACTGGTCACATTTGGAATTTCAAGTCTCTTAAGAAAACCATTAATTTTGTCTAAATTACAATAAATTATTGAATAAATTGACTATATTACCCTTAATTTAATATAAATTCTCTAAGAAAACCATTAAATTAAAGTAATAATTGAAATAAATTGACTATATTACCGTTAATTAATATTACAATAAATTATTGAATAAATTGACTATATTACCCTTAATTTAATATAAATTCTCTAAGAAAACCATTAAATTAAAGTAATAATTATTGGTTATATACAAAGGGTAAACATGGAAAAGAATATTTATTATTCCTTGAAACCACAAATGTGATAAGTATTTTGAAACAAACTATTTTCTCAAATGGGACAAATATCATGGAATGGAGGTAGTATAATTAAGGAATTGTGAAATATTTTACTACTCTCTCTATCCTAAAAGGTTGTCTCTTTTTTTTCACACTTTAACAAAATATAATAAATGTTATTCCAACACATATGTCTATAACATTCTTCCTTTTATGCCCCTTATATATTTAATAAGAGTCTCTAATAAATATTAATGGGAATAGTAAGAGCATGTGTGCCTGTGAATGCAGCATTGCTGAACATATACAAAAAAGAATGCATGTGCTTATTAAAGAATTTGCGGCTGAATATATAAGTTCACCCCTTAACTTTGTTACTTTAACCTTGTAGCATCTTCAACTTTTACTTTGACTCATCAAGCATTTCAACTTATAAAATTATACATATTAAACATTTCAATTTTCAAAATTATTTTATTGTACACTTGAACTCGCAAAATTAAATCAATTAAATATTTATTAAAAATTTATGAAATTTATTATTCCAAAAGTTATGTTAAACTACATATCAAGTCGATATTTACAGATAAAAGCCAAAATTTCTAAATATTATTGATATTAGTATCGAAATATGTGTAATATTACCAAAATTTATAAGTTTAAGTGCATGTCATCAGCAAAGTTCAAAGTGCCACAAGGTTAAAGTTGCAAAGCTAAGGGGTGAATTTATGTATTCAGCCAAAAATTTGCTAACAACTTACAGCTATTGCCATGAGCTCTTCAAGTAACCCTTCCAAATGGCGTAGAGGCTGTTATCATTAAAAAAAACAAATATTGTTAGATAGTGGTACTACTGAAGGGAAAAAAAAAAATCTTACTTTAGCTGTCTGTCAGTTAGCACTAATTAGGAGTATCCATCCAAATTAATTAGGATTTTAAATGTGTTAGTCTTTTCATTTTCCTTATTTTAATACTCCTATTTAATGAAGTATGTGAACAGTCTTTAGCCTTTTCATATTCCTAATTAATTAGTTGAGGAAAATCTTGATTGTGTTCAGAATAAGTATGTTACTTAAAGAAAAATCAGGATTAAAATTATGATTTTAGAGAGGAAAAACAGATGTCCTATTTATACTAGTTAGGACCAAACCAAATCAAAGACTCTTACTATTCCTCATTAATTAACATAATTCATTAGGAACATGAAAAGGCTAAAGACTATTCATACACTTCATTAAATACGAATATTAAACGAAGAAACACTAAGTTGTATCCACATAAAACACCTAACTATTTATAGCAAGCAAGCCAAGTAAAAACCTCACCCATTGTGTTGGACCATCCACAGGAGCAGTCAAAGGATCATCATGCACCTAAGAACTCAAAAGAAGATTTCAGAAGCCACAATATAACAAGCAAAAGCTCTTAAGACACTACTTGAGCTAAAGAGGACCGACAATACAGGTATAAACTGGCACCAAACAGTAAACTTGCCGTCAACAAAATCAAGCATCATAATATCATAATATTCTAATATTAAATTGATTTACTTTCAGTAGATTCACCATACCTCCATAAAAATTCCATCTACCCCAACAGCAACTGCTGTCCTTGCAATACATGGTATCAATTCACGAAGACCTCCACTGGCAACACCACCACCATCCAACTACATGTAAAGCAAAAGTTTAACCATTTGGGAAAGGAAAAAACATTCCAGGATAGACTAGACATAAAACAAATGAATGTCCAAATCTACCAACGACAAACAATAGCACAAAACTATGAAAACAAAGGTCAGGACACAGACTCAGACACAAACACAAACCCAGTCCAAAATATCCAAAATGATTAAATTAAAAGGCTGTGTCCTTACATACTAAATTACTAATGTGGAAATTATGTGCAGCATAATAACCTGAATTAATTAAGCATGCAATAGTATAGAAGTCACTATGAAACATAAAATGTAAGACAACCCACACCTTTCTCCCGGCAGGCTGTTGTAGTGAATGTGTCACATCAGCTACCTGTATTTCTACATCCAGTGATTAGGTCATTCAGATTCTAGTTGCTAAATTGAAGAATATAAAGCATAGCAATAGAATAGCACAAAAGAATTATGTGAAGCATATTTATTTTGGAACTCAATAATTAACAATTGAAAAATGCAAAATCATCATGGACTTTTCTTTCCACAGAAGATTCTTTTCCAGCTAATTTCTTGATACTTCCTCAACAAAGTCACTTGCATCTCATCCAGTTCAGTTCAGCTCTGCTAAGGCATAGGAAGCTGTCCCCTTGGACAAAGTAGACAATCACACTTGGTGAGCTATGTTTTGCTCACAGGACAAAGATTTGGCCTAATGACCATAAAAATACAAAATTTTGCACTTTGTTTCAATTGTCTCAAACCTTTAGTTTAATTTTGTCTTGAATGTTTGATTTCAAAACTTAGCTGGAATGGAATTATGTCCATCAAGTCAAAATTAGTCACAATCAAAGTAAAAAAATTGACACTTTGTGCCAAGTAGAATAAAAAATTAATCTTTAATATATTTTCTTTCTTTCCCCCACCACTCCACTATATTTTTGATAAAATAATATTAAAAAATGTATATTCTACTTAAGAATAATTTTTTTAACTTCAATTTTGACTAGATAGACATAATTGCTTAAGTTTTGGAGCTGATACCATTGAAAAAAATTAAAAGATCTGGAAAAAAGTAAGAAAACACCGAAAGATTTGGATTTTTCTGGCCATTAGGCCCAATGGTCATAAAGATATGAAAAATGAAATGGCCATAGCTTTGGAGAAATATTTTCAGAGCAGTTAAAGTAAATGAAAGAATTAATTAGGTTAAGATGCAACTATATCTTGCATTAGTCTTCCATACAAAATTACCATTAACTTGCTTGCTGGTTTATGTGCTAAGCAAGAGCTATGGGGTCCATATTTTATTGTGAAGGAATTGTATGGGATGTATTCCAACTCCTAAAACTCATGTAGGTGACAAATTGGGCCAAACAGAACTTCCACCACCCATTCACTTATTATCTTGGGCTGGAGCCTATGCCACATTATATTTTCTTTAGCAAAATATGGACCGCAGAGGTTTTGTTTAGTGTCTAAATCAGTAAACTGCAAAATATGGACTACAGAGGTTTTGTTTAGTGTCTAAATCAGTAAACCTACAACAACGTTGGGTGAAGTCTAATGAAGGATCCAATTAACTGCAAAAATATGACTACAGTAGGTTTTTGTTTAGTGTCTAAATCAAGTAAACGCTACAACAACGTTGGGAAGTGCTGGAATGAAAAAGGTCCAATTTTGATTGTAATCCAATTGAAATAAAAAAGGTTTTGTTTAGTGTCTAAATCAGTAAACTGCAAAATATGGACTACAGAGGTTTTGTTTAGTGTCTAAATCAGTAAACTGCAAAATATGGACTACAGAGGTTTTGTTTAGTGTCTAAATCAGTAAACTGCAAAATATGGACTACAGAGGTTTTGTTTAGTGTCTAAATCAGTAAACCTACAACAACGTTGGGTGAAGTCTAATGAAGGATCCAATTTGATTGTATCCAAATTGATAAAATTAAAAGAATTGAACATAATTGTAAAAACTTGCCAAAGTTCCAAATTTATCTCGCCATCAGGCATGTTCTTTTCAAAGAAGAAGAAGACATGAATTTTAAGTATCACAGAATCTAAAACCAAAAGACAAGTATTTGACTTACAACAGGACAATCAGCCTCCCTCATCCACTCCAAATTACGCGGATCAACAATCAAATCATCTGCACAGAAAAGCCCATATGTAAGATGAAAATAAACCAGATAAGAAAAGGATATTTGTGATTCATAAAATATTAAAATCCAAAAATGTTCCAAATTGGTTCAGCTACCACAAAAATAATTCACAAAAAGTTAATTTAACAAACTGCATCAGCCAAATAACTCAATTATGTATGGGTTTGACTCGCTTTGAACCAAATGCTAGAGTAGCTGCTTCTCAAGGCATACAGTGTTGACATGTGCCCAGAACACTTCTTAACAGTTTCCTGAATATTTCATCAACATTCTCATAAAAAAAAGTGTAATTAATGAAAAAAAAAAAAAGGAATTCTCCTAGGAAGTAAAATGATAATCAGCAAATCAATCATTTCACTAAAGGTGTCAACTGCGAAACCAGATTCAAACCTTGAATGTAAACTAGACTCTAATAACTAATCAGGTTTAGAAGCTGAAACGGACAGAGAAAAAATTTTAAATAATTACTTCAGACAGAAAACTCAGGCTTGTTTATTTCATATGATAAATCTGTTGTAGTTCATGAAAGGAATCAGAAATATCACACTAGAAATGCTCATACTTTAGGTGAATTTATGTTTAAATGCTCAAATTTGTTAAATTTATTCTTATTTGAATGTCCATGCATAGATCAAGGCCCCACTTTCTCTGAAATTTCTGTTGAAAAATGACATGGATACTTACGTGCCTATTTAGGTGGATTTTTTCCTCATTTTTCCTTACCTTAGCATAAATTTCAGGTAATAGGACCCCAACACCCACGTCAATATCTGGTGAAAAGCTCAACATGAATTTCATAAAAGGCGGAGCTTTCATCTCCATGTCATCATTTCAATGACAGTAAGTTTACACTTGATTAGAAAAATATTATCACTTTATGCACTTGATTTAAATATAAAACTTTTTGAAGCTCAGGCGCTTCCAGTGTAAACATTTCCAGGGAAAATTAACAGCTAGATTAATAAGAGATAACTTAAAGCATGGAGTGGAATAAATCGCAAGTCACTACAATAACTGTACTTAAAGCATGAGAGATTACTGTTCATGATAATGTAGCTATCAGCAATTCAGCATCTAAGGGAACTCTGATTATTTTAGGTCTTTATAATTAGGTTGGTGGCATGTAGTTAGCACAATCGCGATTACATTAGAAAATATATCTTAGTTAAGTTTGAGATTTACAAAGTTTTGATGTTTTTCTTTTATGGTTATCGAACATTGAATAAGATCATAGTTGGGTAGTTTCTTTTGGAGGCAATATACAACTTATTCCTCTGTCCTTCTATTTCCCTCTTTCTTGTTCTTCTTCTTCTTCATCTTCCTTTTTTTTTTTTTTTTCTTTTTCGTGTGTCATCCATTCTCACTACACATTGATTGATAATTTTTTTTTTTTTTAAAAGAAAAAAAAGACTTGTCAAAAGCACAAGGTATTCAAGACACTGATACAAACTTACTATAGCCAAACATGGTTCCACGCTCACAAACCATCACATTTGAATTTCCAGCCAACCTAACCTTCTCAGCAGAATTTATCATGACCTGTACATGTCAGCGATTATTAGTTAGGCAAACAACAATGTACACAGATGAAATTGTATCTTAAAAACTGCTAATCCAAATATCTGAAAGAGAATTCCACAAGAACAAAAGGAATGATACTCACAGAAGAAGCACAGAACTGGCCTTTCTTAATATTGATAATTTTCCCAGTTTTTGCAGCTGCAACTAGAAGATCTGTCTGATTCGATCATCAAAAAGAAAATGAGATTTTTTTCTACTAGGTTGGTGAGGCAGTCATGAAAAAGAGTAATCCACATTGAAAACTAAGTCACAATGTCTCATCACGTAAGCACTGGATCGTGAGAACAAAAACATCAGCTTCACCTGACGGCATAAAAACGCAGGAATTTGTATGATATCTGCAACTCTACCAACTGCTTCACACTGGTCAAATAATTGGTCAAAAACAGTTAATGAAATGAGGAATTTTATTGCATGAAAAGTAAGAAAGAATTAATAACTCCGAGCTTCATATTTAGAATTCCTTCAGCTTAGCTACTATGGCTAAAGTACACCACACAAAAGTTGTTGAAATTTTATTGCGAGAAATAAATAACAAAACATTATAAGCATGGTTAGTTATAGATAAATAAATCCTTAAAACTTTAAGACATTAGTTAGACTCTATAGCTAATCCAATTCCTATAAATAGGACTTTTATACAACACTTATAAAAATAATGTTTTGCTAGACCAATAAGGATTTAAAAACGACCTCAAATAGACATAAATATAAGACCCTTCAGACCTAGAGAGTACTTGCTAAGGTCCCAAATTAACATTCTAGTGTCTGGAATCTTAAAAAATAATCTACCTTGATTTCATCTTTTTTGCATCAATTCGTAACCACATCAGTTACATAGATATATAAATACATAAGCATAAGTGCTAATAAGAGCGACAAATTGCCATCAGAACACAATAATAAAATTATAACCTAAATGTAAAGAGATATGACATGCAAATCTATTGAATATGGTGCAGAAAATAAAGAGGACAGAATTCAAGCAAGATTCTGAAAATATAGAATCTCTTTGTGGATAAGCTTGAAACATGGTGTTAAATGCTCTTAAATTTGGAATGCTACAGTCTTTCAGTTCTAATAATTTTGCTTTTGTAAATTTCATAGATTGCTTCTCCCTTTTTCCCTTCAGAAGATAATTAAAATGCATATGCTCCATCTTCAAAGAGTAGCAAGTTAAAAACAGCTTTTGCATCATTGATAGACTTTCCTTCTACAGATCAACAAAAAGAAATGACATAAAAGCAAGATGGCCACAATAGATAAGGAACTTGAGAAAAATCAACTGAGAAGAATTGACTACCTGGATAGTTTCATGCACATCAGTAATAATAGGGATGTCATATGCTATTTTAACCTTCTCAAGAATCTGCACCAAAAAGGAAAAAGGTAATATTAATCATCATAATTCCATGCAACCAGAACTCATTAAGAAAGATCTTATTGTCAAACGAAGTAGCCATAACACAAGACTGGATAGAAAATGTAGAAGATGTTAACAAAGTTACTAAGAAACCCTGTGTCTGGTTAACATACATTGGATATACATTGTTACAATTATCAGTGTATCAGAAAGTAACCATAGATAGAAGAATAATTCTAAATGTGAAGAAAAGCATGAATCACCATGATGTCAAAAAACATTTGTCTACTCACAAATTTGAGTTTCCTGTTCAATAACAATGATAAAAGCTATAATTACAAGACCATTTCAGTATCAATTTTCTGCTCAATATGAACCACCATTGTCTAAATGGGGAAAGATATGCTAAAGTACCCCACTCTGGATTTCAACTCAATAACTATCTTTCGTCAATATTTAATTTCAGTATATGTCAAACAGCACATTAATTAGCACTTACTACAAAGGAACATATTGCCAAACCTATAGCTAACAATATACTGACATCCCTCTTAATTAGTAATGAGTTTTTCATTCAATTTAACACCTGACTGAATCCCAGCTTTGGCAAAACATATATATAAGGCTGAAATAGCATCAGTCAGCTGCCCCTAATTGCTCATCTTTCATGACATTGATTTCTTTTTGTGCAAGGATTTTATCTTAAGATCCTATTCAAACTCCACCATATAATAAATAAATGATAAAGCCGTCAAATGGCAGTATCATCCTTATGTTCACTACTCTTGCATTTGTCTTACTAATTAATCATGAAAGCCTCTCATCTTTAATATTACGAATTTGCATTGAGAAATTAAGTTTTGCCTGATAAATTTGTACTCCTAATACCTAAAAGAAAGAGAAACACACCTTCAAGCCTTCACTCATGCCTGGACCTCGAAATGACTCCGAGGATGTTCTATTTGCTTTGTCAAAGCTTGACTTAAAAACCAATGGCAAACCAAGTCTACATGATAAGAAAACAATAACAATACCAGAGATATGTAAGATAAACAGTAAATAATACAAAGAAAATTTTTAAAAATACAGTACCCAATACGAAGAAAATTTTATAAAATAAAACTAAAAAAACTTACCAAGAAGAAAGGCAAAATTAATTATCATAATTTATTCTATTCATATATTTCCTATGGAACCAAGCAAGAACCATTTCTCTCCTACCAAACCTACTTTGTTGTAATGGTCTTGAGGTGCTTGGCCATTTTGAGAATGTGTTCCTCAGATTCAATCACATTGGGCCCTGCCATTAAGAAAAATGGCTCCGCTGCCTGTTGAAGAGAAACGCAATGTCACATTAAGCAAATATATAGAAACCACAATCAAAAGCTCCGCAAATATAACTCATTTAAGATTTAAACCTTGAGCTGGTTATATAGCATCGTAGAAGAATCCATCTCCTGCAGTTATCATTTTCAGATGGATGTCAGAGAGTGAGTGAGTGAAACAAACAACAGCCAAATTAACAAAGGAAAGTAAAGGCACTGAGAAACACAATCTCATTTTCACTTCTAACATCACTAAGAAACACTGAAGTAAAAACCAAAACTGATCCTTCATTGGCTGCTATATGCCATCTAAATATGCACAGATACAGGGAGAGAAAGTAGAAAGAGAAACAAACCAAGCCTAAATAGAAACAAAGAGAACAGGAGAAATAGACGCCTCAAATAAAGCCCAGTCACAGGCAGACGGATTCGTCGAGTGTGCTGAAGCAGAGGAAACCAATCGCCGCAACCTGCGATTCCAATCTAAGGGAGTGACAGGTCAATGCTGAGAGTGGGGAGAGTAGAGTGTTCAGATGGGCCAATTCGACCGATTCGATCTGTTAAATAAATATTTCGGTTAAAAGTTGGAGCCGAGAAAATCAAATTTTTGCAGCGGTTGAAAATTAATGAAATCGAATTAATTAAATTAATTAATTCTCAAAATTTTATAATTTTAATTAAATAAATAATAAAATTAAAATTAAAAATATTTCAATTTTTATCTTAATTAAGTAATTAATTTTTCATTTCAGTTAAGTCAGTTAATTATAAATTTCAATTAAATTTAGTTGCTTAATTATATTTTCATTTCCTCTGACTTCCACCTAGTTAAAGGTCAAAATTAATTCAGCCAAAATAATTCGATCAAATTCAATTAAAAAATTAATTCGATTAACATCAATTAATTAAAAATTTTAAATTAATTTATTTTCGGTTAAAAATTTTGCTCAAACGGTAGAATTTGTTAAAAATTAAGTGAAAATCACGCGGTTAAAGTAAAGGGATATTATTTTCTAAATCAATTAAAAACCTTCAACTTCGGAAAATCCTCTTCACAAGCCTGAACTTCCATTACTCATGTCAGTTTTATAACTGTTCATGTACTTTTTATTAGATCTTCTTCTTTAAAAGAGCTAGTCAACCCCCGGGGCAAATTTACCAGTCCTCTATTTTGCAGTTGTCCTTGCATGATCATGCACTCTATTCCCTTGTTCATGAGAATTAAAAGAAGATGATGAAATCGAACCTCAGAACCAGCTATGGTTTGATCAAACACAAGAATCCAATTAGAAACATGAAAAGACTATATGCTAGCTCTTGATAGCGTATTTGAAGGCTAAGACCTGCATTCTTTTATGAGTTTTTGTCTTCTTGGAAGCTTCTTACGAACTCAGCTGCTCTTCTAATAAAAAATATAATAAAAACATAAACTCCACCCAAAATAAGATCAATCAATATATATCTCTTCCATTTCATCCAAACTGTTTTCCTTCATTTGTTTTTGCTCTTCTAGGACGCAATTTTAACATTTTTCCTTTAATTTTTAAATGGAAAAGTTTTGAAAATAAAGTTTTGGGTTGTTTCAAAAATGTATTACTAGACTTTAGAGTCAACTACTCTCAAAGCCGTAGAAGTTTGCATAGTTTAACATTTTTGGCTATAGACAAGCCTCTTTCCTTTGGAACTTTTAGGATGTTGGTCCCTCCTCCTATCAAATTAATAATTTGTTCCTGTTGAGGTTCATCACTTGGCCTAATTTGTCTCTAGTGACTCCTGTGGCTTGGTCTTCTAGTAAACAATTTCTAGTTTATTTATTTAATGAGCTTTTTAATTTTGTCTCTGAGTTGCATATATTCCTCCATTGTGTGTTTATACTCATAATGGAATTTGTAGATTGAGATTGTTGGATCAAAAGGATTGCACCCATTCTCATCTGTCCAATTTAATTTTTTATTTTTTTTCGATTTTTAAAATTGAATTAAATCAGCTAACGGTTTCTTAGTTAACCGGTTCAGTTCAATTTTCAAAAAATTGATTGCAATTAGCTATATCTATAAGTTACATCAAATGAGTCCAATTTATAAATTTATTATGAAAAAAAATAAGAATATCTCTCTAAATTATAGTGAAAATAACACATACATCATTCTATGTTTAGACACTAACTATGTCATTAACTCATGTATCCTTAAATTAATATTCCATCGAACAATCGCGTCCTTCCATCTAAAATCATCGTTATTTCCCTGGCTAAAAAAAATGAATATACTAATGCTTTATCATAAATAAAATTACTATTAGTTCATAGGTAGTAGATTAACAATAATTAGCAAATTAAAATAAACAAAAAAAAAAAAAAAAAAAATAAAATTGGAATTAAATCAGCTAACGGTTTCTTGAGTTAACCGGTTCAGTTCAAATTTTCAAAAAATTGATTGCAATTAGCTTATATCTAATAAGAGTTTACATCAAATGAGTCCATTTTAAATAAAAATATTTTATTATGAAAAAATAAGAATATCTCATCTAAATTAATAGTGGAAAATAAACAACATACAATCATTCTATGTTTTAGACACCATAATATGTCATTAATCAAATGTACCTTAAATTAATATTCCATCGGGAACAATCGCGTCCTTACCATCTAAAATCAATCGTTATTGTCCGTTCCCTGGCTAAAAAAAATGAATTACTAATGCTGTTTTATCCAATAAATAAAATTAACTAATTAGTTCATAAGGTAGTAGATTAACAATAAAATTAGCAAAATTACAAATAAACAAAAAAAAAAAAAAAAAAGGAGCCCTGTCATGGTCTTTCAGCTTCAACATACGACACAGTGTGGGATTATGAAAAAAAAAAAAAAAAAAAAAAAAAAAAAAAAAGGAGCCTGTCATGGCTCTTTCAGCTTCACATACGACACACCCATGGAAACAATAGAACAAAATATCCCAACACAGCAATCCATCAAATAGGACAAAAAAAAAAAAATCCTTCCTTCCTCTAATCTGCATTCTCTTTAACTGGGTCTGTATATTCATTTGACCTGTCTCTCAAATGGAAATATTCTCTCTCACAGTTCGGATGGGAAGCTAACTGGTGGTTTTTTCCTTGACAGACATGGAAACAAATCACTTAAAATCTATTCCTTCAATGGAATTACTAAACAATACCAATACAAATTCAGCTTCAAAGTTTTTTTTTTTTTTTTTTTTTTTTTTTTTTTTTTTTTTTTTTTTTTTTTTTTTTTTTTTTTTTTTTTTTTTTTTTTTTTTTTTTTTTGAAGTAAACTTTGGAAATTTTGTTGCTGCTCCCATTGGCCCTTGCTAACGTGAGTGGCAACTTAAAAAATAAATGGACATTTATTGAAGGGAAGGCAAATTCATGGTAATAATCAAGTTGGGTTTATAGTCAGAATTGTCATTTATTGGTCTCTTTTTTGTTTAATTTTTATGTAAAATCTGGGACCTTAATGTATGCACGTAAGGTGTTTGATAATATGTAAGGAGTTTGATAATTATGTCCTTTTTTTTTTTTTTTTTTTTTTTTTTGAAGTAAACTTTGAAATTTTGTTGCTGCTCCCATTGCTACGTGAGTGCACTTCAAAAAATAAAATGGACATTTATTGAGGGAAGGCAATTCATGGTAATATAAGTGGGTTATAGTCAGATTGTCATTTATTGGTCTCTTTGTTTAATTTTTATGTAAAATCTGGGACCTTAATGTATGCACGTAAGGTGTTTGATAATATGTAAGGAGTTTGATAATATGTCTAAACAAGAGGTTGTGGCATGCTCTGCTCTAATTGCAGGATATGCGAGGGAAATGTATGGAATTTGATGGCACCAGTCTTCTTTGTGAAACGAGAAATGAAAATATAATGACCAATGAGTTTGCCTTGGCTAGGTACTTCATCTGATGCATCATGCGATGTGCAAGAGTTAAATCTAATCAATTTAGCCTTGCCAGTATTGCCAGTATTGTTACTGCTGCTACAGATATGGGTGTTGTGCTTTGGTCAAAGTTTTCATCTTGTATTTGCAAGTATGGGCTGGAATCTTAGAACTTAGTTAGGAATGGACTGAGTATGATGTACATGAAAAGCGGACATGTGCAAAATGGTGCCCAAGTGTGTGAGAGAATGACCAATTAGGATTCAGTTTCATGGAATATCCTTTTATCTGGTTTCCATGGCCTTAATTTCTCAGCTCAATTCCAACAAGGGTATTTTTTGCCTTTTACATTTGTTTATCTCTCCTCTTATCTCAATTTAGTATAAAACTTACCGGTAATTTTGATTATTTTTGACGGAATGAGGTATTTATGTAACATAATATTAATTTAGGGGATGCTTAATCAGAGTCTAAACGTAGTAGTTATGTGTTAAACTATAATTTAGGGATGTGTTTTTATTTTTTAAATTTTATTATTTTTATTTTGGAAGTGTTTTTTTAAAAAGCGAAAGAAAATATTGCCTCTCGTTTTGTTTGCTTATTATTTCTTTCTTTGCTGTCTCAAAATATTTGTAAGATTTTTAAATTTAGATATGTACATAATTATATTTCTTGTAATGTTTCATGATTGTTCATTAAACGAAAAATATTTTAACGAGTTGGATAAAAAATGGTAAAATAAGTTGAGTAAACTGTTAAAAAGGCGTATTTTATCAAACGCACATAAAATACACATTTTATTTATATTTTGAAGGAAATGAAAACCAAAAACTTGAATAAAAAGAACATGCTACCTCCAGATGTTGTTCCGCAAATTAACTGTTCTATTTCGGTTATTTTTTTTCTCCCCATTTCCAAACACTCTGAGCGAGCATTGTGAGCTGGGATCTGAATCAAAGTAAAGAATTCAGAAGAAAATGGGAACGGTGGGACTGGCTCCGGGGCTATCGAGAAAGCTAAAGAAAGTGTTGGAATGTCGTACGGACACACCGGATCTATTAGCCTCTCTCGATACTCTCTCCACTTTCTACTCTGAAAATACTCCTCAGGCTCGCCGCAACCTCAGATCAACCATCGAGAAGCGCTCTCTCGATATCAATCTCCATTTTCTCCAGTCATCCAACGCTGCTCAGCAGGTCATTTTTTTCTCCACTTCCTAATTTCTATATCTATCTTCAGATTTTTTTTTTCTTCTGCTTAAAATTTTGTTTTTAGGCTTTGGATCGAGTGGAGGAGGAGGTTAATGCACTTGCTGAATGCTGTGACAAGTATGTTTCTCTTCTTTCGTTTACCCTTATAGTCTGTTGCTGCACCAAAATTTTAGTATCGAGGATTGTCCGTACACATTAAATTGATAGGGGAATATCCTTCTTGGGTTTGTTTAGGAATTATAAGTTGACTAGTTTGCGAATTTGTTTAAGAGATGGATTGATTGCTTCTATGTTTGTCTGCATTCAATTACTGGTATATTACCCTGAGAATACAGGAGTTTTTGATTTTCTACTTTCGTAGGATTGCAAAAGCTTTGAACAGTTGTAGTGATAGCACAGGAGACATTATTAGTACCACTGAGAGGCTTAAACAGGAACTTGAGGTTACCACACAAAGGCAAGAAATAGTGTCATGCTTCCTTCGTGATTATCAACTCTCTAATGAAGAGGTTTAAGTTTGATTTACTGCCATTTTCTATAGTATCATTGATTGGAATTAGTATTTCTCTTTATATTTACTTCTATTGTTTCTCCAATTTGTAGATAAATGCATTGAGGGATGAAGACCTAAATGAAAGCTTCTTCAAGGCACTTTCTCATGTTCAAGAAATTCATGCCAATTGCAAAATACTGCTAAGGACACATCACCAGGTAGAGTATAGATGTTTTTGATCAATTATGCTATATTTTCATTGGGTAGTTGACATGTTGTTGGATCATTTTACCATCCCTGTGCTTTTGGAAAAAAGAAGAAGAAAGACCCTTTACCCTATTGATCACCAGAAAAGAGAACATAGATACAAATCATCTTTGTTAATTCCGTTTTATGATTTCCAGGAATGTATGTTAGTTGAAACCCAAACATTGTACAATGAACATACATAAATTTAACGTATCAAACCCTAGATTTTGACCATCTAATTTTTTCATATTGTTTCTTCAAAGAAAGTGTTTAATTGGTTAGATAAGTGTGCATTGCAAACATAATCTCATTCTGCCCTTCATTTACACCATATATATTGCATGTATAAAACTGTGTAATAATCACATGCAATATATCAAAAGCCATAGGGCATTAGTGGTAGTAAGGAGAGTAAGAGATGTTAGCATTTCTGCAATAATTTTATCATCCACTTCATTTGTCAAAAGCTTTTCATGAATCACCACCATTGCATTTCCAGTGAAAGTTCTTTGCCATTTGAACTAAAAGATAATTCAGATTGCTAGTTTGACTCTATATTTGATTTATCTTTAATCCTTGCACCAATCATGGGGAAAAATCTAGGATTTTTGATCATGGAAATAGTGTGGCTCAAGAATTATTTTGGTTTAACTCTAAATTATGAAAATCTGGGCTTGTCATGTGAAGTCTTTTATTCAGGAGTATTATGTAACTTCTGTTTTTGTTCATGTTTGGAAAATTTAGGGTTTTTATTACTATTCATGATTCTTTTTCTTGAATTTTTCATTTCAATCTTTCATAGTTGTTGTTTAATAACACAATTGAGTATTTAAAATTAAATTTCCAGTACTCTTTGATAACGCTTACTTAAATATCACCTAAAAATCATTTAAGCTAAAATTCACTTAAAATGATAAGTAAAACTTTTAACCTAAAATCTTCATTGAGTATTAATAAGTTACTAGACTCTCAAATAATTTTGCAATTTATAAATCTTAGCACTTAATACTATTCAATACTTAAAATTCGGCTTTTAAATTTTCGTCACTTAATTTCTAGTTTGCCAAAGACCACCGTAGTCAGAAAGTTAATTCTTATTAAATGATTCTTACGAATTTTCCTTTTGGAGGATGTAATCCTTGACAACTTCCACATGAATTGCCTTTCATCAGGGATGGGACATTCCTTAAGACTACACAAGGTGCATTGCCTAGTCATAGGTGTTCCTTGTGCCAAAAAAAATGCTTGAATTTATTAAATGTAGGGTTTTATTGGTATTCTGTTCATAGTTTGTTTAACATATTAAGAAGCATTTATATATTTTTAGGGTTATCTATAGAAGCCTTAGAGACCTGGTTGGTATGCATTATCCACTTGAACCTAGCATATATGTTTCCATCATTTTGAGATTATAGGTAAACTTTAGCAATTAGATCAATTTTTCATTTACTTATGTATTTATTTTTGTGTAACAAACTATATTGCAAAGTGTTGTGCTTTGATTTCATTAAGCTTTTAGTCTGACATTCCGACTTGGGATGTTTTGCCTAATAACTTCTTAGCTTCATGCTTAAGTTGTTTTGTTTTCACGTTACTACTGTCATTTCCTTAGCTCTTATTATTTCTCAAAAGAACCATAATGATGAGAATGATTGACTTTATGCTACTTCACAGCGTGCTGGTTTGGAGCTGATGGATATGATGGCAGTGTACCAAGAAGGAGCTTATGAGCGCCTATGCAGGTGAAGCTTCTTTACGATTCAAGATTTTATTCAGTCATGTAAAAGCCCCCTATCTCTCCTTCTTCCTTCTTTATGTATTTCAATGAGACAAAGATTTTAACAGTTTGGAACTGATGCATTATTGATAAAACTCTATTATCATGTGGCTGTTCTTATGGTCCATGGTTTTTATATGTAATGTGTCCCTTATGAAAGAGTTGTAGCTGCATTATGAATGTTATCCTTTACGCATTTTTAACACTTTATTAGACACATAAATGTGTAAACATTGGTATTCTTATGAGTTTGATGTAATGTGCTTTGTCTATCTCATATACAGAGAGAGACTATAGGAGCATGCTGAATACTCACTCAGGCAGTTATATGCTGCAGATTTCTCAGATAGCAGTTTCAAGAAAGGATTTGATTTGGCCTTTTGTATCTTTTCTAAAATAATATTCAATGAAGCCTGGTTGCGTATTATACTACATTTGTTTTTACTGTATCGCACTACGTATCATTTTATAACCAACTCAATTAAAATCCTTTATCCAAGTATCTGCTTGGGATCATGTCTTCTTAGGGAACAAGTTCTATCTCCTAGATAGCTTCCTTTCCTCCTTTCAGCATGTTTAGGATTCAGGAGGCATTCTCTTCTGCTCTGTAAGGCCTATATCATTGTTGCTTATATAGCTTAGACAATATCATTTTACTTGATTTAGGTGGGTTCAGGCAGAGTTTAGGAAATTGGGCGATGCTGATAATCCTGAAGTTGGTGATCTTCTAAAAACAGCAGTCTGCTGCCTCAAAGAGAGGCCTGTCCTTTTCAAGTATTGTGCTGAAGAGGTGATTCTAATGTTGTGTGACCAAACTGAATAATAAATAACCAAAAATTATGTGTTTGGTCATTTTCTAGTAGCACGTCGTAATACTACTCTGTGTTCAGGTAGCAAACATGAGGCATAATGGATTGTTTAGAAGATTTATAAGTGCTCTTACACGTGGAGGACCCGGTGGACTGCCTAGGCCAATTGAGGTTCATGCACATGATCCATTACGTTATGTGGGTGACATGCTAGGATGGCTACACCAGGTTTTATTTCTTGGTTTCTGTTATAGCCTCGTTGTTTGTGTATTAAATTGATTAGTTTTTCTTGTCATAAATAAAAAGTAATTGGTTGCTTCATATGCAGGCTTTGGCGTCTGAACGTGAACTTGTTCTTGTTTTACTTGATCCAGATACCCTGCTAGATGCTGGATCCAGTGCAACCAGATCATCCAATAGTGTAGATAATGGTGCTGGAAAGACAGAATTTGACGTTACATTTGTTTTGGATAGAATTTTTGAAGGAGTTTGCCGGCCTTTTAAAGTTAGAGTTGAACAAGTTTTACAGTCACAGCCCAGTCTTTTAATTACATATAAACTGAGTAATACCCTGGAGTTTTACAGCTACACTGTGAGTTAACTCTACCCATCTTAGTTTTCTGGGACTTTTTTAAACAACAACTGCATAACTTGAACTTTAATGGTTTGACCTAATTTTTATTTGAGTGCTGGAACTTCAATTTTTTGCTATCAAGTGCCTAGACAAACTGAAATATATTATAATAAAGTGCATTTGGTTGGTGTCTCTCGCTGGAGTGGATGCCTTTTTTTTCTCCAAAAAAAAAAAGAAGGAAGAAATACTGACAAATAGATATGATGTTGTACATTTTTTTGAAAAACTAAAAAATAAGTCCATGGTGTCTGCACCACCATTCTGGTGAAAGAAACCTGATTAATGCACTTGATTAAAAATTATAGTCTGTTTAAGCACCTATTTGCAAAAAAATAATTCAATCACTCGTTTAAATCAAGTTAAAATTTAAGATTTTGATGATGATTTGGATGCAGATGTCAGATTTGCTTGGTAGAGATACAGCTCTCTGTAGTACACTTTGGACTCTCAAGGATGCTGCACAGAAAACATTTTTTGATATTCTGAAAGGTCGAGGGGAGAAGCTTTTACGTTATCCTCCCCTTGTTGCTGTTGATCTTTCTCCACCAGAAGCAGTGAGGGAAGGAGTCTCTGTGCTACTTGAAATAATTAACACCCATGACAGCATGATGATTCCTGCTTCAGAGAAAAAGCCTGATTTTGATCCAGTAATATCTGCTATACTTGATCCTATCATTCAGGTATGCTTGCTTGTATCAGCAATTGTAAACTTGCATTACTATTGGTTAACTGGAACCAGGCTTCATACTATCAAAACATAATGATAAGAAGTTTCGGGGTGCTTGATATTTGCTGTTGAAAAGTTTCTTTCTTTTTCTTTTTTTTTTTATTTAAATTTTTTTTTTTTTTATTTTTAAGATTAATATTGGGAAAATAGGCCAGAATGACATTGTGGGCTATATAGCATGGGGTAGCCTTTCCCTTTGAATAACATTCATCCAAGTAGTGATTACTTTAACATTACAAAATTCTGAAGTAATACTTTTTACTTAATGTAAATTGTAAAGTTAGTCAAGTATAGACTTGACTCATTTTTACCAAACTGAATTACATGATCCCTGAATTTTTACTTTGTTAGTTTCATTAACGTATTATTCCCCTAGTTTTTACTTTGAAACAACTTGCTAATCTCTGAATTTTAAATGAAACAACTTCAAAATTCCTAAAAGTTTAAAAGGTGAGGCACTAAAATGTTATTTTATTTTAAAGATGAGGGACTAAGAGACTATTTATTTGAAAATTGTGAGTGATTTGAGTGTAGTGTAAGGACTGAATGACGTAGGGCAGGTTGAAAGGCTTGTTAGTTTGGCTGAAATTCTGATTAATTTGAAAGCTAGAATTGGGATGGATAATTTAGGTTGCAAAAAAGATGGAAGCAAAACCAAAGAAAAAAGGGGCTTTTATAAATTAATTATAAATGGAGCAGAGACCACTCTGAGATAAATGACTTTGCTGGACTAGAGATATGCAAAATTATAATAATTTAAATTATTTTATCTTGAAAGACAATTGTATACATATACTTTAGTTTGTGGAATGATGATTAATATTGTTATTATGGGATAGGCCTCTAATTATACGTAACATTAATCTTATATTGAGCGCATCTCAGAATACTATAAAGGATTTGAGCTCGAGCTTGTATAATGTAAATCTCATGCCCCTTCAACTGCCAAGTTGATCCCTTGGGGACTAATTTCATAATATTATGGTTACCTCATTATGTGAAACGTTGCTTCCAATCATCGCAGATGTGTGAGCAAGCTGCAGAGGCACATAAGTCTAAGGGTGCTAGTCACTTGTCAAGAAGAAGAATGAGTTCAGACCCTTCTCAAATTAGTAAATCATCAGTGGACGCACTTTTATCAAATAGCAGCTCTGCCGTATCTTCTCAGGTTTCTCCTTAACCTCTCCTTTTCCATTCTATTCATGAATTTGCTAAGTTGATTTCAAACATCATAGCGGACTTCAAACATCTTTGCCAATCCTGGACAACCACTTCTTTTCTGTCTTTTAGTAGATGTGTTGATGTGCTTCTATAAATGTTTAAAGGCATGCAATGCTTTAAGCGGTATTCCAACCTAATGGTTCTGTCTTTGAATATGTATATGGGCACATTGGACTTTGACATGTGATAGCTGGTGGGTAAGGTTTTGGGTTGTTTTGATGACTAGAATGAGTAGAAAAGAAGGTCAACAACTGTAATTTGTTATAGAGCATGATTATGGAGCAAAATAACATAAATTTGGTGGCAGTTTCTGTGCAGGTGTTGCTCTTTGAATGGTACCAATAGACAGTAATATATAAGAGTTTTAGGCTTCAAAATTGAACTTCCTTAGGTATCGCACCTCGGATTGAATTACTTCATAATTCTAAAAATTAAAATAGCTGGAATTTTATTCATAGAGAGCTAATTGGTAAAGTATTAGAAATATGGATATTTTATGGACTCAACTGGACTCCTAGTCCTAGAACATGGAACAATAGGCTCATTATATACTGGAAAAAAAAAAGGACACCAACCAGCCTGGTCTAGCAAAGTTAGGCGACTACAAGAAGTATCTGCTGCTTAGAAATAAAATCTAGCAATTTTCCTTCTTAGAAACATAAAAAAAAGGACACCATGTTAGCTAGTCTATCTCCCACCAACATTCTCATCATGGAAAATGTGCCCAAGAAGCATTTGCACATTAGAACCACTACCAGCTTTGCAATCCTTTTATGGACATGCTCTTCCTCTTACTCCAGCAAACTGGGACCAAGGATCAAGAAGGCTATATTTGGTACTAGGGCGTACACAAAGAGTGATCACACAAGATTGATGATTCATTACTTTTGCTTGGTTGAAAATATAATGTAATGCCAATTTTATTGTCTAACCATCACAGAATTAATTATGCATGCACATTACATGCAAAAATTCATGTAACCATAATTACATGGTTTACTTTAATTAATTTTCTTTTTTTAACTTTACCACCATCTCTGCCACTGGCAGCTGCCATCATCAACTTGCTACTTCCTCTACCTCACTGCTGCAGTTGCCGCTGCCTTTCTTTTTTTTTGTCACCATCATTAGTGCTATCTAAAAAACTGAATGTACAAATATAAACGTTGAGATAAATTTTGTTTTCTTAACCGAACATAGGATTAGAGTAGCTCTTACATTGCAATTTCTCATTCTATTGTATGTTGTTTATAGTTTGAATTCATTTCTTTTGCATCTTCACCTGGTATTTCTGATGAGTGAAAGGTCACAATCTTACATTTTTCTTGTTTATGAATGTGTCAAGTTCTCCAAAATTGTATGATGAAGTTTGTGTGTTTTTCTTATAAATGGTTTTTGCATTAGCTAATACCATTGATCCATGCAGAATAGTGAAACACCTTCCAAGATATTCCTCATCAATTGCTTGTGTGCCATCCAACAACCGTTATCTAGGCATGAGGTTGCTGCTGACTATGTAAAGAAGCTCGGAATAATGATAGAAAATCACATGCATGCTCTTGTGGCTAAAGAAGTTGATGTTATTCTCAGGAGATGTGGCTTGTCAAATAAGATGTCATACTTCAGCAATTCGCTCAGCAATCAAGCTGAAAATACAATTGTCGGAACCCCACTGGCTGAGATTGAAGAAACTTCTCCAGCCTCTCTTTCAGAGTCTTTGAGGGCTTTCTTTGGACTTATTTTAGGAAGCGAGAGTTCTCTTCCGGAATTTGAGCAGATACAGGTTCCAAAGTTGCGTTCTGAGGCATGTATTCAGCTGGCAAGGTCCATTGCTGAAGCTTATGAGCTTATTTACACAGCAATAATGGATCCCAAGAATGGCTATTTGGAACCCAAATCATTGGCAAGGCATCCTCCAGATCAGATAAGGACCATTTTAGGAATATGAATATCTACAGATCGCTTTTATTTTTATGTTTTCAAACCTTTATGGGTTTAACAGATGAGAAATCATTTTCCATATGATGTTTTGTTGATATCCAATTGTAGGTAATATATGAGTTGGTCTTAATTGTAGGTAATAAATAGATATATATATTTCATTATTGATATGTATCATGAATTTTACATTTTTATGCAAAAACTCTTATTGATGGATTGAAGATTTTACAATTGCTGCATCAGTCGCAAGAGCCAACTAACTAAGCCTTGTATTGTATTGACAATTTATGTGGTCTTGTTGGAGGTTTAGACCTGGGAAGGAGTCTTCCTTTCCTGTTTCATTAATTTTTTTTTCAATAAATTGCTATTTTATTTTTAAAATTACTAAAACTAGGATCTGAGCTAGGATGTCGTTTTGCTCGAATTTTGATTAGTTTTTTCCCCAATCTTTGTTTTATTCAATATAATTAATGGTTTGATTGCTGATAAAAAAAGAAAAAGACTTTTCTCTGTTATCAATAATTTTTTCTCTAGACATGACATGGCCTTAATAATGCACGAGATATTAATTTCTTTGTATTAAAATATATGTCGTTTAATTTTTTTATATAAGAATTAATGAAATAGATAATTGTCATAAATTATAATAAACTTTTATTAAATTATTTTTTATCTTAAAATCAATAGTTACGGGTAATATTTGAAAAAATGATATTTATTACTTTTTAAAATACTCAAAATGATTTATATCAAAGGGAGTAATTGATAAAATTGAAACAATTAGATAAAGGTTTTGTTCAGTAAATGCTAAATGCTATTTTAGTATTCTTGATTTATAAAAAGTTAACTGCTCAAACAATTAAATATTTATTTATTTATATTTATTCTTTATAGTGCTCATGCGTGTTATAAAAAAATAATCTATTTTATAAAATAATATTCAAATAATTAAACGTTATTTATTTATATTTACTTTTTATAGCATTCAAAAGTTTCATAAAAAATTAATTCGTTTTTATAAAAAGTTAATTTTTTTATAAAAAATTAATTCATTTTATGAAGTGCTGTTCAAACCACGAAACACTGTTAATTTAATATTTTTTATTGTCATTTGGTTTTACTTTCTAATATGATGTACCTTTAATTTTAGTCATGTTTAATTATGTTTTATCTCAAAATATTAACATAAATATTTAAATCACACAAAGAAATAGACAACCTTTGAAAAGAAAGCGATGGACTTAAAAAGCGTGACGTGTTCACATTTTTCTTGGCGCTAGTCCCGTCACTTACATACATTGTCAGTAAATCTCTACGTGGTCCTATGCACTGATAGTGCCTGTCAAGTGCGTTGAACTGCAAATGAAATGACAAAACCTAGGGTTTCTGCAATCATTTAATTTTCGATTGAAGGAATGCCAAAGCCTCTCAATTATCATCCACCATGAATCCATCTTCATGTCTCACAGAAACGGCTCCTTTCTTGATCAAGACGACCTATGCATCTCCAATTTCTAAACCGATGTTTTCTGCTTCTACTCCTTATGGCGTTAGATTTCCACTCACCTCCTTGACAACTAAATGTTCAAGAGCTGATGTTCCTTTAGCTGCAGCAGAACCTAAACACTCCTCTTCCTCCTGTTCTTCTTCTTCTTCTTCTTCTTCTTCATCGCCTGTAATTGTTTCATCTGTGCAGAACTTGCTGGCTCTAGAGGAGGGCATAGAGAAGGTGATTTTAGAGTCCAGACTGTTATTAATTTCTTGAGTTCTTGTTTTAATTTTGCTTTTCCTTTTTTTTTTCTTCTCTAAATGATATGTAGGCTATTTACCGCTTCCGATTCCTGGCTATTCTTGGGGTTTTTGGATCTTTGATTGGATCCATTTTGTGTTTCGTCAAGGTAAATAAACTCTCAATTCATTTTGTTTGTAGTTTAATTTAATCCTTGTTGCTTCTTTGGGTTTGAACCTGTAGTATTTGATGCCAAAATGGAGAATTGATTTGAAAAATTTTAACAATTTGTTTCTACTTCTTCACGAGAGAAAATTTCATGCTTGAATACAAAATTCCAGTTTTCAATTTTTTTAGAATTTTCTTTGGGAAATAATCCAAATTATATATGACCCAATATGGTCATTCCCCTTGCTTGCTAAATATATCGTATTTCATTTATTTTTCCTACTTTGATATGTAGGGATGCACATATGTTTTCGCATCTTTCATGGAATACTTCACAAACCGTGCCAAAGTGATAATATTGCTAGTAGAGGCTATAGGTGAGTATTTTTTTTCATTGTTATATTGTTGGTTCTGTAGTCATGGTTGCTGGTTTTTTGACTGAATTTAAATTGTATAATATGCTATTTCTTCTAGTTGGATTGTTTTATTTTATGTAATTAATATTTTTTGCAAATAGAAAGACATAATATAGTGTTTCTTTCATATATGAGAAACTGACTTTGCTCTGCTGCCTCAAGCTAAGCCGGCTAAAAAGAACCCTTGTTTCCCTCGTGGATTGTGTTAGCAGAAATTACAATTAACAGGCACACACATAGATTAGAGAAGGAAGAGAGAGAAAATGAACACAAAAAGTTTTGCAAGCGCACTTATCTCCTCGAACAATCTCTGTTTTCCACTGTATTCCACATATGTTTATTTTAGCCCTCTATATATTATAGCAATGGGTGTATGTTTACATGTAGCTGCGAGTTGCACTTTTGTTCTCGTATTGCATATATGTATCATTATATCCTGTCATATCTATGCACGTCTTCCCACTCATCAATCACCATACCCTTTTTTACTACATGAAATCCCATTGATATCTTTTAGGGAACAAGTCTGGGACAAATGAAATGTGGGGAACAATCTGATATTGTTATTACTTTTTATGGCCAAGGTTAACTTTGAGTTCAGTGGCACTAACATTTCCTCTTTCAATTGTATTGTTGAGCATTATTCGTTCTGACACTAATCCTTCTCCTTCAAATTATCATGAATCCACCCCATCTATAAAGGGTTAGCAAACAAATGAAAATTAGGCTTTAGATGTTGGGATACTTATTTGATATGTTTGGTGGTGCATGGCTGATCTGCATGTGACAGTTACTATTAGATTCCATGGAATGGAAGTTCACATCAATCAGAATGCTGCTTTTCTGGTTATTCCTATTCTATTTTCCCTCCCTGTAGTATTCCCCATGCTGTCAGTCTTCCGTTATGCATTTGCAATGAATTTTTCCTTGCCAAACTTCTTTTAAAAGCTCCAATAGTTTAAAACTATTTATAGCTACTGGCAGTGTAGCAAATATCGATTCTCAAATAGAGCTCACAAAAGAAAATAACATTTCGCAAATGTTGACTGGAGTCTTGTCATAAAACTTGTGTACTAGTTTACTTATAACGTGCCTTGCTTAATGCTTGATATAGACTTCCATTTTTTCCAAAGAACATTCATTAGTGTTCAAATATGAGTTGTAGCTTTGGTTTTGCCCAAATGGTTCTACTGCAAAGTACAAATTTAGGAACTGAAACAATCAAAATTAAATTAAGGAGGTGGCAAATGTATTTGATAATCAGCTAGATCAACAAGTTACTGCTACTTGGAATCAGGGTTTTAAATATCAGCCAATACATTACATACTAGCCAATTCACAATGGGTGTTTTGGGCACTGACATGATATTTTCCATGCATGGACTCAGAAATCAAAGACAGGAGAATTGTCCATTACCATTACAATTCTTCTAGTTGGCCAATTCATGCTGAGACTAATTCAAAGTAATGACGGCTGTCGAAAGTAATTGCTTCCTTCTCTTCTCTAAAGACTCTAGCCTCCAAACTTTTCAAAATTTGAGCTCTTTCTTTCTGCATCTTCTCAATTTCTGCTTTTTCCTTTCCGAAACTTTTTACTTTCGTGGTGTCTTGAATCAACCAGTTGACAGATAGGGTAGTTTGGTTTTTATTTCGTCAAAATTTGATGAAATCAAACACACGTAGGGATTTGGATTTTGAAAATCATAAGGAAGTGTTGAATTGAGCCATTGAAAAACGAAGAAAAGGCTAAAATGTGGAGACGAAGAGCTGGCTGTGTCAGTGTTGTGTGGAGAAGAGGACTTGGATTGGTTTTTTGCGTGGTGATATAAACAGATTAGGAGATATGTAGCCTTTTAAATTTTTTTTCCCCTTGTGTGTTTGGGTTAGTTAAATGGTACAGTTTTTATTTTTAGTTAACCTTCCTTAAGTTTAATGTTTAAGAGCAAAGTTTAAAGGTTTATGGACTTTCAACATTATATTGTAAACTTTCAAATGAAATAAATTTTATCTAAAATCTTGTACAAGTAACTGATGTAATATTTTATTGTTAAAATTATAGAAAGGAATTTAGAACAAAAATAAGAAAGTTTGTAAGTTAATTGATTACAAGATTACTTCTTATATGTGTGTGTGTATATAATATATATATATATATTATTATATATATATATATATATTATTATTAATTATATTGTTTTTTATTAACAATATATATTGTTTTTTTATAACATTGTAAAACACTAAGATTAATTAAATTACATATTTTAAATTTAAGAGTTACATAATACTCTTTGTGTGGCTTGAGTTACATAATTACACATTAGAAATTAAATACAGGTTAGGTGAAAGCTATCTTTGTGATGCCACCAACTGTATCTTGTAACTATAGTATTTCTAAATTAATAGTTTGCTTGGATACTAGAACTACTAAAAACATACATGCTATAGTGCTGACTGCGACCTTTATACTTCAACTGTGACATATCAACTATCTACAATGTGACTGGTACAACGACACCAGCTGTGACCGCAACTTAAAAACCTTGCTTGGAATTGCAAGATGCGTATTGGATCAACATTCATTTTTTTAAAATGTTGCATGTTAAATAATAAATATATATAATTCTTCTTGCTCTCAGAGATTAACATTTGTTGACAGAGTGATGGATTGTCATTTTATTGCGATTTCAGATGTCTATCTCTTAGGAACAGTGATGCTGGTATTTGGAATGGGTCTGTATGAGCTCTTTGTTAGCAATCTTGACACTGCAAAGTTTTCATCAAGGGGAAGAATATCTCATAGATCAAATTTATTTGGATTATTCACCTTAAAGGTATATCAGAATCTTCTCTAGATTTCAAACAGTTTTCATACTTCTGGTGCTTTTTGTTGTCAGGCATTAATATCTCTCTCTCTCTCTCTCTCTCTCTCTCTCTCTCATGTACAGGAACGGCCGACATGGTTAGAAATAAAATCAGTGAATGAGCTGAAAACGAAGCTGGGTCATGTAATAGTGATGCTTCTTCTGATTGGTTTCTTTGAAAAAAGTAAAACAGCAATTATACACTCTCCCACGGATTTACTTTGCTTCTCAGCTTCTGTCTTCCTTTGCTCTGTTTGCCTCTACATGCTAAGTAAGCTCAGTGACTCGAAATGATACTTATGTTATTTTTCTACATAATGGTTTTCGAATTTTCTCCAGAGAAAATTGAAAGATAATGTGAATATATGTGTGTATAAGCTGTGTGTATTTGTAGGGCTACATAAATTAATAACAAGCATATCTCCTGTCTGATAGTCTGTTCTGAAATTCACTTGAGCATCCTCAATTAATTGGATTTCAGTAACCAAAACAACACACACCTCTTTGACTTTGCGCCTTTAGTTATTCTGTGCAGAAAAATCGAATAGGCTGTGGGCATTAGCGCACTCCTTACGATTGTGACATTCAGAAGAATAGAAAATGATTGAATCACCTTAATTCTAGAAAAAAAAAAAAAAAAAAAAAAAAAAAAAAAAGAAATTTATCTCATGTGTTCTTATCACTTGTGCGTGTTTAACGGAATATATGAACCAGAAATACAACGGTGAATGGGACGGATGTTGGCCGAATTTGGGGATGAACCTTTTTCACCGTGTGCCAACCAAAAAAAAAAAAAAAAAAAAAAAAGATAATTTATCTCATGTGTTCTTTATCACTTGGTGCTTGTTAACGGAAATATATGAACCAGAAATACAACGGAATGGGACGGAGTTGGGAATTTGGGATGACCTTTTTCACCTGTGCCACAAAGATTAATATCAAAATAAAGATTTATTTATTTGAAAAAATAAATTATAAGCTATAGATATAAGTTGCAAATTTAATATATATATTTTTTAATAATACATTATTTTTTTTATCATATGGCGATTCATGCCGGGAGAAAATAATTGATATCGGGGGAATTTCGGGTACAATTTTCATCTCTAGTTGGAACGTGGCAGAGCATCAGCCTTAGCCATGGCGAAACCATTATTTTATATTATAAAACTGAAATTTAAACACGTGTTACAATGATAAGTTAAAGATACAATACAATGGACGTGTTAAGCTTTTAATTTAACCGAATCTAGCTTTTTATGGCACATACAAAGGATGAAATAGAAAAATCAAGGTCTCTCATGAAGTCAACGGATTGCTGTCCTTCCTGGAACGAGACTGCCAAGGGAAAGGAAATGAAAGGAAAGGAAGATAATGGTTGCAATGTGAAAGGTCGATTGGACCTCTTTCCTCTTGAGATGGAATATTATTAGATTCATATATAATATTAATCGGATAAGCATCAAACAATTTTCATTTCATCCCAATGTGTCTCTCTCTGGAAAATACACCTAATAATAACATAACACCTTCCTTCCATCATTCCATTTCATCACTTTCCACCTAATAAATCCACACTAACTATTTTATTTAATTATAAATCACCAATTTCCACTTTTTTTGAGAAAATTCAAAATTTCTATTCATCAAATCTCACATAACAAGATGGGGATTTATCTTATTATATTATATCCACTGTGGCATTGAATTATTATGAGGCCCTAAGAACTTGATTAATTTAAAATAACTAAATGAGGGACTAAAATGTAAAAGAATAATGTCAATTTTTCTTTCCAAAATATAAATTCTTTTACATTTTATCCAAAATATAAAAGAATTAGGAATTATAGATTTGCAGGGCAAGAGCCAAAAGAGGGAGGATTAGGAAAATAAAAGCAAAATGAATATTCCAAAAAAAAAACCCGTCTAATTACGGATAGGAAAGGTATCTGTCCTTGAAAGCAAATGAAAGACTTGTTTGTAAATTGTAAGAAAGCTTCAACTACCACAAAGGAATAAGAAAAGCAAGCTAACCAAACCAATATCTTTCTATTCCTTGAGTAAACTCCAAGCTTTCTCTATTTTTCCTCTTCTTCTTCTTCTTCTTCTTCTTCTTCTTCTCTCTTGGTTTTTCCAAACTCTACTATTGCTCCGCCATGGAAAAACATCTGTATGGGTTCTTACTAATTTTCTCTATTATAATCTCCCTTGCTCTTCTTTCTTTCGTTTCTTGCATTCTTGCAGAGTTCAAGAAAGCCAAGGTACTCTCTTTTATTATTATTATTATTAATACTCTTATTGAGTTCAATACTACTGAGTTAAAACTTATTGTTAACCTTTCTTCTTCATCTTCTTCTTTTTGAACTTGTATGCAAATTTATGTAAGTGGGTTGTTTTCTTTTTTTTAGAAGGAAGAAGTCAGGTTGGATAATAAACTATGTTATTTGCCTGAAAGTAGGGCTTTTGGCTTTGGAATTGCAGCGTTGGCATTCTTGGTCATTGCTCAAGTCATAGGGAATATGATAATTTGCCGGAATTTTTGGTTGAGAAAAGAAGGAATTACTTCCAAGACAAAGAGACCCAACTTAATTACCATTGCATTTCTGGTTTTGTCCTGGTAGGTACTCAATCATCTACTTCCTCTCCTGCCTATTTCATTTTTTCCTTCTCCTTGACTGAAAAGTAAACGGACGATGATTGAACTGCTGAGTAAATAATTAGAATACCGCCTTGTTTTCAAACTGTTACAGTGTTTGGAGTCTCTGACAACACTTTTCTTCTTATTGGGTGAAATGCATTTAACTTATTACTACTCATAACAGATCATTAAAAAAATAATTTATTTTTTGTTGTTACCTCTTATTCAGCGTTTCATATGGTTTTCCTTTAATGTTTTGAAGTGAAAAATGCTACTTTTTTTATTATTTACTACCCATTTTAACACGCTAGTTAAACTGCTGAACTGTTAACAATTAACGACCAAAACAACTAAATTTTGCTGAAATAATTAATAAAAAAAAGCCAATACGTTTGATGATTGGTCACAAGTTGTGCTCTAGACTAGACTAGAATAATCTATAGTTGGAAGGAACATGGACAGCTCAGCTGTAGCAAAAGCTCAAAGTTCTTAGATCTACTCTGCAATTCAACGCCTAGAAGTTATGATCTCTTTATTTAATATTTTTTTTTAAAATTTTAAGGTTTTATTTATAATTTGAAATTAAAAAAAAAACAAAAAATTTGCAGGATGAGCTTTGGGGTTGCAGTGATTATTCTAAGCGCAGCCACAAGCATGAGTAGAAAGCAGGAGTATGGAAAGGGATGGTTGGACCAAGACTGCTATATAGTCAAAGATGGAGTGTATTTTGGGTCTGGAATTTTGGTTCTGCTTTGTATAGCAGCCACACTTGCCACTTCCTTTCTCACCCTAAATAAACCACAGCCTCAGCAACCTTCAAGGATACATCATGCACAAGTTCTATAATATCACAGCACAAAACGACATGAGCAGATCAATTCTATTTTTTGGATGAACCCCACACGTAACATCATCTATTAAACACATTCCCAATTTTCTCTAGCCCTTTCCTATGCCAAATGAAATAATATCCAATACCCATAAAAAAAAAAAAAAAAAAAAAAAAAAAAATATATCCATACCCATTAAAAAAAACAAGAAAAAAAAAAAAAAAAGACAAACTGTTTGTTTCATTTAATGTTATAACTACCCATTCCAGTCTTCACCAATTCTCCAAAAAAAAAAAAAAAAAAAAAAAAAAAAACCAACTGTTTGTTTCATTTAATGTTAATAACTACCATTCCTCTTCACCAATTTCTCAATTACAATGTATATTATTCTTGTTACATGAACAGAAAAAAACAGAATGAGTAAACAATCCTAGCTAATGAAAGAATTGAGTTATTTTCCCTCTTGACGATTTACTGAAATAATTGAGTTACCATTTACATTCCACTGTTACATAATTCTTTAACAGGAACTCAAAGTAGCAGATTAAATGGTCAGGTCATAGAAAATCTAGAATTGAATCAGAACATTCAGCTGAACATATTCCACTTACTTAATATAACAGCATATACTATCATCAGAGCTATGTCTGCCAACAATATACAAAGCACAGACAACACAGTAAGAAGTAGTCTGTTAGCATTGCAGACGACAACCATATCCCTAGAAAAGAAGTTGCAGATATGTATGTATGTCTTGAAAAACCTAATTGCAGACTTCCTCAAAAATAAAAGATAAAGGCCAGCTCATTAGTCAAAAAACATGAACTTGCCTTGATTGTACATTCCGTGGTTTCCTACCTAGTAGGTATCTCAACATTCAAATCCCAAGATAAAAGAAACCTCGTATCATATCATTTTACCTTGAGAATAGTTCCTCCCGGTGCAGAAGGTTGAAAATGAGAAGCAGAAATGAAAGGTTGACCTCTATCATGTACAAACAAATCAATCTCGAGGAGTCAAAGTCAGACTGCATCAGAAAGGCAAGTTCCCATTTCCCCTCCCGCTGTAAGGTCCATAACCATATCCCCTTCCCCAGTTATGTCTGCCATGATAATTATTGCCTCGTCCAGAACCATAGTTGCCATAACTCTGGTTGTACCGGCCAAAAGTCTGATAAAACAATTTTATTGCAGATAGTCAACAGATCATCCAAAAACAATTATTTTTGCAGACAATTTGGACCTATGACTTTGTATCCAAAGAAATATGCTAACCTCAGTATCTTGCCTCATTCGGTCAAAGAAACGGTTCTGGCCACTCCTTGCTCGGCCAAGTGTATTGCAGGAAATCGTGTCAAAGAAATCATCTTTCTTGTATGCAGGCTGCATATGGAAGCAAAAAATTACCTAAATGAGCATAACTTAAAACGTCTATTTCTAGTTCTGACTAAAAAAAAGAGTAGCAGCTTTCATATAGCAACAGGTAATCCTCCTCTCTTAACCTTCTAAATCCCACAAGATAGTGTTGCATAGCTATAAGACATGAATTAGCACCAACACTAAGGACATGTGTTTCAAATAGTAAATAAATAGATAAATAAATCTGCTCATGCATAAATGCATTCCATGACCAACCTTAGCATCAAAATTAGGCACCAGATGAGAGGCCTGTCTGTTCTCTGAACTCCAATCAATTCCATTGTCCTCTACATCCTCTGTATCTCTTTGCTTTGCCTTTCCAAGATAACCCCAAACTTCATCTTTGTTAAACTTCTCATTCATGGCTTCAAAATCAAATTCTTCAGTGAACTGCACATATACAAGTTTGGGTGCAGTGAGGCAATTAACAATGCGGCAATTAAGATTCCACACATGTTTCAACCAACACCCTTTGCTTTCTACAAGAAAACACCAGGACTAGAAAATTATTCAATTGAACTCAAACTATGTACACGATCAAGCATCAAGCATAAAGCGACAATAAATTGGTTTTCTAGCCCAAAAATGAAATTGACAGCATGAAATCACAGCAACTTGATGCAAAACATAAAAACTTGTTCAAAACCTTGACATAAATAATCAACTATTTCACGCAACTAATGTGTGAAATCAAATCTCATTGTATAAGCACTTAAAATCCCAAACCAATTTTGTCAAACAAACAACAGAAATATTTCACTTTTCCTAGATTGGAACTGTAATACTTAAATGAAGTGGATTCAGGCCTCCAATTCGACATTCTAAAAAATATGACCAAATTGACATTCAACCCATCCTATATACAAGCCTCTTTTATCAGCATTCAAGAAATGCTATATTAACAAATTACAAAGTCTTCTGCCGATAGGACAACCCCATCAAGATTGTTGTAAATAAATCCACAGAAGATGGTGATAAAGATGCAAAAAGACTGAGCATTTACCATAACATGCAACATCAGTTAAAAGAAACTTCAATGAAAATAATGAAAGGTATCCAACCTTTTGCACAGAACTTGGCAATGGCAATAATGGTGCCTGAGAAGCTGGAGCAGGAAGCAACGGTGGTGAGGTAGATGATAAAGAAGTCAGAGGATCCACATTCTTCTGATCAGGATACCCCATGGAGGAAACCACAGGTGATGCAGACTGTGCTAATTGTTCAGGACTTAATAGAGGAGCTGATGTTAGCAAGGGACTGGAAGTAGAAGCACCGTAGGAAGATAGAGGATAAGGCATAGATGGGGTAGAATGCACTGTTATAGGGTCAAAAACAGCTTGACCAATACTTTGAGCATTAGTCATGCCTGTGTCTCCAATAGAGTAAGGAATTGAAGGTGGAATTGAAGACGCACTCAGCCTATTAAAAGAAGTATATCCGGCATAAGATGGTGAGAATGTCTTTACAGTTGAGGAAGATGGCATGTCATAAGAAACAGAATACTGTGCTGAAGTAGAAGTTGCAAAATTGGGTTGCAAAAAATCAGAGGCAACAGAAGGTATAGGAGCAACAAATTCCGATGCATTTGCCAATCCCATTATTGGAGAATGCTCTAAGCCTGTCTGCATCTGATTCTGAATTGACAAAGAAGAAGACACCATTGATGAGGGTTGAAAAGGAGTAGAGTGCTGGGGAGCATGAGACACATTGATCGATGTTCCATTATGTTCTTGCCGATATATTGGCATTGAAAATGATTGACCAGAATTTTCAATAGCCTGGGAAAAATTGGTTGGACCAACATGATTTATAGACTGAAATGAACTCGAATAGGGTCTGCTACTCAAAGCAGGCATCTCAAGCCCTTGAGAAGATTCTGCCAAATTTTTACCATCAATTAAAGCTGATGCTGAAGAACTTAAAGGAGGTCCAGCATAATGTGACTGCAAATAAGAGAAACCAAAAAAGAAGCAAACCATCAGTTTGGTTTCCTACTTCATGGACTTTAAAAAATGATAAGTCCTTGAACAAAACCAAATGTCAAACCTGAATGATAGCAGGGTCATCATAAACTGGTTGCTCAGTTTGCACAGTTGGTGGGGTCTTAACTTGCAAATCCTGAAAATCCGCAAATTGATTACGATATATATGTGTACAAAGCAACTATATATATATATATATATACACATGTAAGCTTTAATTGGAATAATGTATCCCACTGGGGCAAGATCAATACTGAATAACTATATGTTGAGAACTATTCAGGGTCTTGGGGAGCATGACAGAGCATCATTATGGTATAACTGTACCAGCCAAAGCGAAACAAAAATCAAACTCGGGAAGTTTCTCCATGCAGCAATGGTAGATATCAATCAGAATTACAGTTATTGTCATCCTAATAGATTGCTCAGTCTGCATATGCATTACTTTTACAAAGCCGTAATTCACTGATTTGCAGTGCCAAAATAGAAACAAAAACACCATCTTGTCCCACAAAATTAGAGCGCAAAGTTTGATCTTTGAAGACGTGTGGATTTCTTTCCTTCCAAAGACTCCATAGTGCAAGGGGAAAAAAAAGCACGATCTGAAAGAAGTTTTGCATCCTTATTACCCCTGAAGCCTCTCCATTTTAAAAGTCATTAAAGACTCCACACCTCTACCCAAATGCTCCTCAAAGAGTTCAAAGAGGCAATTCCAAATTGCCAAACATTACTTGAATGTTATCCAACTTGATTAGAGGAATTTGCTTGTATTTTTCTGTTCTTGTTTGTAGTTGTTTGTTGAGTTTTTAGGACGATTACTTATCCTTCACTCTGTATTTTCTTTCATTCTTTCTCAACGAAATGAATTCTCTCATAAAAAATTCTTAAGGAACTTGAAAACGTATGGGAAACAAATACCCAAAGACAAAGGGAGGACATGAAATAAAGAGATTGATTCACACTAAACATATTTGCAAAAATACTCAAGAGACCATAACCATGGCTATTAGCATATTATTCAGCATAACAACCATCCAACGTCAACAGAAAACTTAGGTGGTAGTAGTAGTAGTGTTCATGGAAAAAAAAAAAAAAAAAAAATATTTTGCAAATACTCCAAGCAGACCATAAACCTGGGCTATTACATATTTGTCAGCTAACAACCATCCAACGCACAGAAAACTTTAGGTGGTAAGTAGTAGTAGTGCTTCATGGAAAAAAAAAGGAAAAAAAAAAAAAAAAAAGAATCGAGCAAAAAAATCTTTAACCAAACAAACTGATTCAGCTTTTTTCTTCGTTATTCTTCTTCAGTTCAGTTTCAATATTTAAAAAAAAAAATGAAGAAAACCATTGGTTAACTGACCCAACCAACAAAATATAACACATGTATACCAAAGCAGTTCAGTTCTTCTATAATATATATCATATTCACTGTAAAAACCAAAAAAAGACATCAATCAATTAAAACCCTAGAACCAGGAAAGCTTGCTATTCCGAAATTAATATGTAACTTCCAAATATCATTTTCCAGGAGAGTTATTCCTATGCAACCGAATAGATAATATAACAAACAAATTAAATTTTTTACCTTAATGTCACTTCCGCGGAAAAGAATGAATTCATAGACCTTATCGCTAGCAGGAATTTGCGGCCCATCTTTCTTTCGACCCTCTGTTCCATAAGACTTTACTGCAACACCAAAAAGAAGAAAATAATTTACAGAAAAAAAAAAGGAGAAATGTAAAAAAGAAAATGCACCATTTTTGAGGCCAATGGTGGAGTCTTGGACGTTGAGGTGATAGAGAACGCCTTCGTAGCGAATCTCGTACTTAGAGATGAGACTGATAAAACTTCCTATATATGTATCTCCTGCATTTGAAGATTTCGAAGAAGAAGAGGAAGAAGCCATAGAAACGAAAAGGAAGCCAAATTTTTCTGGAAGATTAGGGAATTAGGGTTCTATTCTCTTCTCGCTTTTTCTTTCTTCTTTATAACGTCGGCTTTCCTTTCTTTTTAGAGTAACTTTTTTTCTCCTTTTTTATTTTATTTTCTTTTTTCTTATATTGGAACAGAAAATTAAGTAGCCGTTATTTTAAGATTTAAAAATTTCTTTTGCCTCCCATTTTTCCTCATAAAAGAATTTATGTATTTATTACGAGGTAGCTCAACATTTCTCATAAAATTCAAATTGAAGATTTTTTTTATAAAAATTTTATATTTTAAAAATTATATTTTTGATAAATCTAAAAATCAAATCATAATTTACTAAAATAATTATATACTTTTTTCTTGAGTATTAGAAACATAATTCATTATTGAACGAGAATTTTCACATTTTTTTAATCATTAAGTATTTGGTAAGTATAATTTTTTAATGTGAGTGCTTAATAAGTGCAATTTTAATTACAAGTTAAAATGTATATTCTTATATTATTCATTGCTAATTAGATAACAGATGAAGAAGGTATAGTTAATTATTTTAGATAGACCAAGACCTTACCAATGTCAATATTAAAATTTATTTTCTTTTATGTAGGAAATTGAATAATTATCTCAAAGTGTTTTTTTAAAGGAAAAAAATTTTTATCTTCGTCTACTTTTATATATATATATATATTGCTATCCCACTTCTTAAAGTGATAGGTTGTCACGACCCGAATCCATGGGCCGGACCGGCACTAAGGCCCAGATAAACTTAAGGCCCCCAAGGCCCGTAGTAAGCCTGAAACACTAAAAATTTACTATCTCAATATAATTTTTTTAACATTCAGCCCATACTGATTGGAAAATAAAATTCTATTAAAACTCGGCCCAAATTTAAAACATCTAAACATTACCAAAATTAACCCTGCTTAACAATACTAATATTTATAATATAGCTCACAGAATGATCTTCATCTATATAATATGCGAACTAAAATATAAACAAATTCCTATAAACTGCGGAGTTTCACTAACAAAGGAAATACAGATAAGTCTTCGGACATTTTATCTATTTATAGATCGATACTAAATTTAGGACTCTTTTCTACAGTGAAAGAGTGAGAGTTATAGCTGGGATTAGAAAGAGCTACTTCCGAAAGATTTTAAACAAAAGAGATGTGAGTTTGTTAAAGAATAGATAATTATGCCACAACACACGCATTCACACAAATGTATAAAATATATCCAATCTAGTCATCCGACTACGTTATATGTTTCCACACAGCCAGTCACACAATCTGGCATATCACCAGCACTCACAATTATTAAATCTTCACATAAATCACATCACGTGGAAAATTGGTCAGTGGAGTCACCGTAACCCCCGATGAGCCTCGTCCTCCCACCTGGCTCAATCCTCTCACGTGGTGCACCAGGGAAGCCATCCCCTACTGGCCGACGGTCTAATCCTCACTTGAACCAGCTCCTCTATTGTTTTTCTATCCTCTCTTTTCTTTTTCATACCAACAGAAGCACAACCCGGTGTCTCCATCAATCTAGATCATCAAGCGCTCACAACAGGAGGCCACCCTGCGTGGCAGCGATTCAAATCTAGACTGTCCGCCGTGCCAACGACGAAAAAGAGAAAGCCAACCTGTGCCTGGTTAACAGGTTAACGGTAACGGTAGGTGCACACGGGGTGGCGCTCGATTCCACCATTACCCGCTAACTGTAATTGGATCCATGTAAACGGTAACGCTAGATATAACGGTAACGTAACAGGATCCACATAAACGGTAACGTATAACAGAAACAGTCTCACAAACCCATGGTGACCCACTTCATCCCAACTCCACACAAACAAAGCATAGCATTATCACAACACAACTAGTCAAACATTGCAATTCAATGCAGACATATTGATCAGTTATATATCGGAATGCAATGCACGATTAGACATTCATACTCAAATGCAAACAAATAAATAAATAGTATTAACAATAAACGGCAACGATAGAGCAAATAATAATAATAATAATAATCAATAATAATGAAAATAAATAAGTAATTGAATAATTAAATAAATAATGATGATAATAAAATAATTAGAGCACTTTATTTATTATGAATTAAGTTATAAAAAATAATTAGAGCACTTTATTTATTATGAAATTAAGTTTAGATTAATCTAAATAAACTTATTAATTTATGTTTAAATTAAAACTAGTTCTAAGTTTTATCGAAATTTCGGCAGCACCTCCCCTAAAATTGGACTATCTACCTGCTCAAATATCACAATATTATATATATTTATCACATTCAATGCACACAGCCCATCGTCGGAGCGATCAACAGTTAGATTTCCCTTCCTCCTTAAACATCAAAACATTAACAACCCACTATCTCAACACAGGGTTTAATAAATATAACCGAAATTCAACCTGTTCCAACTCATAATCATACAAGATTATTTGTTAAATCAATAAGCGAGATCAAACCTAATAACTTATGATAATTAAATTTGTTAAGCTTGTTAAAACTCACTTTTAACAATAACTAATTAATAACTATTTGTAACTACTGTTTATTTAATTTCGATCATCTAATTATCTGACTAATTACTTCCAATTTGTCCTTCACGTTTCGACTTACGACAATTATTCCACAATGACTTATGTCCTAGAAGTTCAACATTAAATATATTAATTAGGTTGAATAGTGATTTTTAAATTATGTACTTAATATAATCACAATTTCTAACAAATAAATCCTAAGTTCCAATTCTCTTATGAATTTCCCAATTAAATTCACAAGCTTCCAACCTAATATATCAAAGTCCTTCGATTAAATACCTATTCGAACAAAGTCCTTCGATTAAATACCTATTCGAAGTTAACTAAAATGTCCCATAAATTTAAATGTTGACATTTATAACACAATTAAATTTAATAATCAATTGATGCTTTATATGCAAAAAAAAAAAATTTGAGAATTGAGTCTTCGAACGTACCAATTGAGAATCGGGTGACGATTCCATGCTCAACGCGAAGAAAAGAGAATTCTGTCTCCCGGGCCTCGCCGGAGTGTCCCCGGCCGGTCACCGGACCGCCGCCGGCCGGCCGCCATGCACGGTGGCCGGAAAAGCTAAACCGCCGCCCAGAAAATTGCAAGGTCACCACCACTTGACTCCAATTTTCGCGAGGAGTTCAAATCCACCATCGGTTTGATGAGGCAGTGGCTGTTGAGCCAATGGCTCGTTTGGCCGGATCAACCTCCACAGCCACCTTCAAGCCGCCGTCCATGGTGGTTCATCAAAACTCAAGCAAAATCACAAATCACTGGAGGGGAATTGTTTATGTGGAGGAGAGGAGTCGATCGAGACCATCTCTGGCACCTGAAGCTGACGGAATCGATGAGATTCGCCGGAAAATCGAAGAGTAGCGCTGTCGGAGCAAACGAGCTCGATCCGCGCCACTGAAGCTCCGTTCATGTGAGAGGAGGTCGGAAGAGTGATCTGCAGTGCCAGGCGAGTCGACTGCCACCTCGTTCTCGCTGAACGGTGGCTGGAAACGAGACGGAGAGGAGAGGGAAGAGGAGAGGCTGTCGCGCGAGAGGAAAAAAAAGGAGAAGAAGAAGGAAAAGAAGAAAAAGGAAAAGAAAGGAAATTGGGCTTTTGGGCCATTCCGGTTCGATTCGAACCGGTTTGGTCCAACTCAACAATTTAGGGTCCGATTAGTGATCTGGTCTCATTTGTTCGGTTTCGAGTTTTTCCTATTAATCGTGTGGTTTTCGATAAATCGATTAAATTTCCAAGGTCGGTTTGATTTATTTAATTAATTTTTATTATGTTTTTGTAACCTTTTCCTCCATTACTTAATAAATACAGTATTAATAGTAATGATTTTAAAATTTTAGAATAATTACATTCATATATATAATATAATTTTTTTTTTTTTTTTCTGTACACTTAAACCGGCCTTCTCTCTTTTCACTTTAACTTTATTAGTACATTCTCTGACATTGTAAATCAACCTTCCTTCTATACTCTAATCTTCTCCTCCGTCCATATCTCTACATATCCTCTCTCTTATTTCTCCATTATCACTACCATCACTGTCCTCCTTTCTCAATAATGGTCATTAAGATAATTTAAGATGATTGAGAATGGTTGAGTGTGAATTTGGTGCTAGGGTTGTATAGTTAAAGCCGAGCTTGAGCCTAATGATGTTCAGCTTTAAAACTCATCGAGTCTTATCGAGCTTTTATACATACATATATATAAAATTCTTTTAGATCACTCATGCCTCGAGCTTAAAATTTTTCAAATTGAACTCAAACTTGAAACAAGCTTAAGTGTAACTTGAGCCGAGCCTGAGCCTAAAGTTTCAGACTCGTTGAATTTCGAACCGAGTTAAATTCTATCGAACCGAGCTTTGAGCTTGGGAAGTTCAAGCTCGGCTCATTTACACCACTACTCCAAAGTTCGTATTAAACTATCCAACTTGGATTATGCATAGATCAAATCAAGTTATGTTTATTAATTTTTTTTTGTTTGTTTGAAATTAATGAGTTACCACCGTGACAATGCAGCAAAAGGAAGAGTTAAAAGGTGAAAAGTATAATAGCAGCAAATTAAGTTACTATGGTAAAATTATTGAGTAATTACCATTGAAATCCACAAGTTTTATTTTGCTACAAATATTGAACTGCAAAAGATGCAAAAAAACAATTACAATTTAACAGAATTTCTTTCTCTTAAGCAGTTGAAGAACAGATTGTGCAGTGCAATAAGCAATAGCCTGAACTGTGACCATAGGATTGACACCTAATGCTGTTGGAAATACACTTGTATCTGCTATAAACAATCCTTCTACTTCCCATGTCTCCCCCATTTCATTCACTACTGAGTTTCTTGGATCAATCCCCATTCTGCAACTCCCCATCTGATGAGCTGAACATATCTGTGTCGATAAATCTCTCAATGACCGCGAACTTTCCCTCTTCACGAACTTGTCAAACTCCTTATAACTTTCTTTTTTAACATTTAAGCTTCTCCCTTTGCTATGATGTGTCCCAATTTCTTCAGC